TACCAGTACCACCACGTGAGTAGGTTCTTCTGTTTCACCCAATCCAACTAGCAAACAGAGCCACACAGAAAAAGCTCTACTCACAACAGAGAGTGGGGATTCCCCCACAAAAGAAGCACCACAGCCTCATAAATTCCCAAGCATTTTCTTCATCCAAACAGTGCAAGAAAAAACAAAAGAAAAGAAAAGAAAAAGAAAAATCTCCACCATAAAAAACACAGACCGTTAGTAATGGTTTGAAAGCTCAAATTTTTAATTACTTCTTGTGGAAACGTTGGGTGTCCCTCGTTATCTACAACCCACTCGTTCCCGCTTTTATTCCAGGTGCGTACGTGGCGCAACCATGTCCTCTGAACCCAGAGGCAAAATGGTAAATTCGATCAACCAAGTGGACCATCAGAGACAAAAATTCAAACCCAAAAAAAAAAAAATTAAATTAAATAAAAAATTAACCAGCACGTGAGAAAGAGAGGATCTTCATAAATTTTTATTTTAACGAGATCTTCGAGTTCCAATGAAATGAACAAGTATCGGCATACACATTGAACAAAATTAAAATAAGATTACCAACTAATCAACTTAGGTTAAACTATTCTAGCCCTTTAAATATAATATAATATAATATATGCATTATCAGCACTCTCACTCACCTTTTGTTTCTTCGTTAACGTCGATCTACAAAAACCCTAGAATCGCACGTTCAACCAACGAAAACTCCTTCACATTTCTGGACTCTGCCATGAGCTTTCAGAGCTGAAAATCGAAAAAAAAAAAAAAAAATTGATCATCAAATTCAAGTATATTCATTTGACAGAGAAGAGAGTAGCAATCTTCGCAACTAACCATTAAGAATTGGAAAATTGAAGCATAGACGAGACGATTGAAACCCTAGAATTTGAAATTAGTGTAGAGAAGATTAAACCCTAACAATGGTGATTTTAGAGAGAGAATGGAATGGAAATGGTGGGTGTGTAGAGAGAGAGAGAGAGTGTATAGGAGTGATGGTGTGGTGTGGAGTTATGATAACAACAAAGAAGTAACACGTGGCGGTGGTGAACGACAGATAGATAGAGCAACACGTGGAAGTGAGAACAAAATGGACGTAGGCTCGGTAACTATATTTGAGCCGAACCGAATTCCGAACCTAAGCTGAGTAGCGTTTGGGACCTTATCCTCAACACCTGCTTTTTTATCCTCAACCTGGCTGCTGCTGTTGCTGTTGCTGTTGCTGTTGCCGCTTCCCTCTCCATCTTGATTCTTTTCTTTTTTTTTTACTATTTTTTTGGGTTTTTTAGTGATAAAGTTTTAAGTTCTGAAAATGAATCAGATAAAATAATTTTGTTGATAAATGTCAAAATGTGTTTTTGGAGATATTTTAGCTCAGAAGTTGGTTTTTAAAACATCGCTAGCAGGAAACAATAGTCATGTTTAATAGGGAAATTATCCTTTTCTCTAACTATTATCCTTTTTTTCAACTATTTATGTTCAAATAATTATTTTTTATTTAAAAGTTTATGTCAAAATATTTAATTTTTATTTAAAAATTTATATCTAAATAACAAATATTGTATATTGAGATTTTTGTATTATGCAAATGGAATTATACTAAAAAAATGATGTACAATACAAAGTTTTTTTTGTTGCCTTGAATGGAATGGCGTGTCATCTTGAGTAGCTTAAATATCACACATTAAAAATGTTCAGTTTACATGTATAGTGTTATTTTTTTAATTATGATTTTATTTCTTAATTAAATTATTCTTTCAAACAAAATTCTAAATAAAATTTCTTAGAGTATCTCCAATAACAAATCATTGGAGTTATTATTGCCATAATTTGGTAACAACAATAAAGCATTGTGCTCTAATGATAAGAAATAGCAACTACCAAATTTAAAAAATGTTAAAACTTGTGTCAAATTTAACACAAGCTTTGAATGCTATTATTTATGTCAAATCATCAAGAAACACATCTCTCCTTCCCTCTATCCTCCCAACAAAACATCCCTCTCTCCCACCCATCATTTTTTCAAAAGAAACACAGAAACTAATGTGTTTGAACGACTAACCGACTACCGCCTAGTCGATCAGACAGTCGTCCGAACATACCAATTTATATGCCAAAATGACAATTGAACCATTAGAGCACCATTGCAATTTTCTATCTATTTTTTACTATTCATTGCCATAATTTAACAATGACAATACTATTATAACATTTGTCATTAAGATCATGTTTGATTCACAAGACTAATAGTGAAGGTATTAACAATCGTATCAAATTAGTGTGGTATTCACTATCCAATTGGATTAGTAGGATAAAGTATTCTCTTGTCCATTGTTTGATTTGTATGGGATAAGAAAACATATAAAAGTAAAAGAGTTTTTTTTTTTTATTTCCTAACTCAGGATATATAATCTCACCCCTACCCCATTACTAATAATCCTAAAAATTTGTTGGATTAATTATCTATTGGATTAATAATCCTGAAACAAAATTTTAAAACAAACACAAGATTATTGAGCCCACGGATTAATAATTTCAATATCATATTCTAATCATATCAATCAAACATGCCTTTAGTGTTTTATTAGCGGTACTGGAAATGAGAGGGTCTAGCTACACTACAGGCCGCCGCTCAAACCTTTTTTACTAGCTAAAACAGGCCTATGTTTTAGCGTTTAGTAACGTTTACATTTTTTGTTTATGTTTACAAAATTTTATAAATTGAGCCAATACAGTTGTTAGCCACTCCTACTATTGCAAATCACCTCCAGTGCAACCCCTTCTCTTGTGCAAAATCTAAATTTTAAAATATTAAAATCTCAAAATTTCTATTTTGACACACTAAAATTTTTTGGTGTGTTGAAACAGAACCCCGTCATCTTGATTAATATTAGGCCAAGTTTGGCATGAGACAAAAAAGACAAAAAGTCAAAAAGTTACTATCCTATTTAAGTCACATCATCTTATTTAAGTCACATCACCTCTCTAACCCATCACTTCAAACCCAATCCAAACCCAACCCATATTTCATAAAAAGTCAAAAAGTACACTTATTTAGTCTTCCCAAACTAGGCCTTAATCTGTTTAAAATTCTTAGTTGAGTAGATAATCATTTACTAACCAATGTCTTCTAGCTTACTTGGGTGGGTGAGGAGCACATGTAATATTTTAGGATATAGGACAAGAAAATATTTTAAGAGATCATTTTTACTATGCCTCCGTTTGGCAAGAAAAAGCCCAGGCTTTTTTGACTAAAATAGCCACAAAAAACAAAATAGGCTATTTTAGCCACAAAAAACAAAACATCAAATTCAACCCATAATCATTACAATTCTCTCTCACAAAAAAAGTCAAAAAACCAAAAAGCCCTTCCCAAACCAGGCTAAAATAGCCAAAAAGCCAACCCACTTCCCAAACGGAGGCTATATTTGATTAGGAGAGGGTATAACATAGAATAAAGGTGTTTAGAATAATCTAAATAAATATATTTTTTAAGAATGTGAAATATAAATT